ATTTTAAAAATACTGTTCAAAATGGTTTCACTCAATTTTTTTAGTTTTTCTGATCATATAGAGTGGAGGGGACATTTGAATTCCATCATCAGTTCAAGAGCCATGATTATGATGCACATTCTGTAGTGTTATGGTACATCCTTATAAAATGATGGCTTTTTAAATGATATTCCAAGGGAAGTACCCATTTCAACGTGGGCAACTAATTTTAAAGAGATACTTATCTTTATTTACCACATTTTCCAATACGTTCATTCTTTTCCATCTCTGTACAGCTAAACAGAACCAATTTAAGGTAATAATTTTTTTTTTCAAAAATGGTATTTTTCATAACTTTAACAAACAGAAGAACATCTTTGAAATGTGTACACCATTTGCCTAGGTACATAAGACCTTGTTTAAGTTTCTTGCTGAATAATACAACCATTATGGCAGAAATTCTACATGTAAGTTTGTTCCGACTGTTGCCACTGCCAAACAATATACGTGGCATGGCATGCTAATCATTTTGCTGGAATAGGTGAAAAGAGGATTTGAGACTGTCACACACGCATTTTATTCACTTCTTTATTTCAGAACTTATATGCTTTTTAAATTTTTTCTATTGCTGTTACTGTTAATTTATTTTGCTAAACTGAATCTCTCAATACTCTCATTCATCAATCATACCTGGGGAAAGTTATTATTATTATTATAAACATCCCACTTGCCTTGTTCCACAGATTTCTGCATACGGAAAGACAAACTTAACTGGCGTAAGAGACTAACACAGAAATGCGCTAACAGATAACTCCATCGCAACCTTGTCGTCCATTATGTCATGGGCGCTGTTCAAAGAAATTTTTTCAATTTATAAAACAAATGTAATATTTGAGTGTTTTGGTTTACTAGTTGGAAAGCACCGTTTAAGATATATATGAATTTTCTTTTTAGTTTACAACATGGCATGTTGCACAATGATTTGACAATAGATTGGGTAAAATTGCATCTTATCTTCTCTAACGCAATCACTAACCAGTGCTTTCATTGGATTCCTATCATTCTCTACTTCTATGATTTGATCAACCATATCGAATACAATGGCTGATAAAATGTGATTGTTTTGACGCTGTAATTTAAGCAAACCCAAATAAAATTCCAAGGATGAAAATTCATTGTGTTTTATAATAATACAAATACTATTCTTTTAGTAGAAGCTTCCGTACGGAAAGTGAATGAAGTGTACATTATCATTATTATGCAAATCAGTTGAGCATTTTGGTGAGAGGTGTTCAGATAGGACCATGGTCAGTAGAAGATGGAGAAGAAAGAAGCCTCATGTCAGGTTGCGACAATTTACACGTGTAGGCCAAGAATGTGGTACTGAAAACACCAGCTATTTGCCGTAAGTACTGTATGGATGGTGTAACATAAAATGGTTTATTTTGCATGGACGATATTTGCCTAAATTGGCGTATCCCTTACGTAAGGCATAACATAATGATCATGGGACATTTTACTGACGTGGACGACACTTTCTTTCAAATGTCCAAAATCAGCTTGCATCGCAAATATTTTCTTTTCAGTTTGTTTTCTATAGAGAATGCATTTGCCAATAAAGGGTTTTTTCCAGTCCTCTAAAGGTCTGGACGCGTTGTGTCTTTTTAAAAAAGAAGAACGTGTAAGTCAACAAGGCAGATAAGGCTTGACAACATTGGTAGCACATTTTGGGAAATATTTTTATTACTTGGAATGCTGACGACAGCTATTTGTTTATCGAAGTATCAACATATCCTGTTTATTGAAGTAAACTGGCACAAACAATTTTTATAAAGAGCTAGCAGCGACCAAGCAAGAGAAAGAAACACATCTACCTGTTACTGTGTAATTATTCCTTTGACTTCAAGGCTCATGATTTCATTTACATTCCATTTCTTGATAAATATGTTTTGGGTGAACATCTTTGCATTTAAAGAATTTGATTTTAAAAGGTTGCCCAAACTTGCCAGCGCTCGGATTGCAAAATTCATGTTGGTGCATTGAAATAAAGAACTTAATGTTATAAATCTTGTACTGTGAAAAGTGAAGTGAAAACATTTAACAATACGGTGTTGAAGTAATGCATGTACCACACCAGTTTATTTGTGGAAATGACTCGTGTTTTCGTGCAAGTAGTAGCACAATGGCGGAATTACGGGACACGGCGAACACGTGTATCTACTTTTGGTTCAGAGGTAGGCCCACCACTTCTCCCTTCTCAAAATAATAACTATCAAAACTAGTAAAAATATTTTTCATCCCAGTGCTCTACAAATGACAAAAATTGATTTCTGATTTGATTACTGATTTTTTTTATTATTTTGTATCCTTGTGTGCCCCCCCCCCCCAAAAAAAAAAGCACAATCCTGGATCAGCCAGTGATTACCTGCCATGATTATTTCATTATGTAATTATATATTCTATAAATTTTATGTAAACTATAACTTTCTGGTTTGTAGTATAGGTTGGATTTCGTTCGAAGGTTGGCCTTGCACCTGTTTTTTTTCTTAAGCCTAATTCTTGTTCGTGTTCAAGAGGTGTTTGTGAAGAAAAGTCCAGATTATATGTCCCTCCTTCACGTCCTGTGGGGTGTTCTTGCTGAATGTCTCATGGTCACTTAACACTGGGGACCAGAGTCGAGTTCTTTTCCTGGCTAAATGTGTAATGTTTTTTCAAGTAAATTGATTTTGTCGTTTCTTTACAGTTTCTTAACGTATTATTCTTAAAATTGTGTGATTATATATTATGCATTTTGGTTTTTCGATAGCCCACTGTTTACACGGCAGAAATTGAACAAAAAGTTCCTTGGTATTTTGCGATCATTTATATGACAAATGCACGATCAACCAAGAGATAAAGTTAAATGTCACACCCCTGTAATATAGTTAATCTTCCGATGTGCCGTTTGATTCTGATAAAAACGATAACCCTTTTAATATATTAACTGTATCGTTCTGGTTAGTAGGCCTACTGTGTGGACCGTAGCATTCTTGAACTGCTCTTGTGTAATAAAAAGAATGTAAGCAAAATATTTGAAAAGGCGTTTTATATTCTTTGATGAAATTTTCAAGATATTGTTTTAACCGAGAAAGAAGTGATTTCAAAATTCTCCATATTTTTAGATAACTTTTATCTCATTAATATTCACATTTTGTTTTGGTAAAGGACCGTCTTCTCGGAGTACTCTAGCCATGTCTTTAAATATTTTATTTATTTCAGAATATGATTTTGACGTCACGTAAGGCACACTCGAATCCAGCCTCTTTTTATGGTACTAGCCGCCCTTGAGCTTCGGACACGCCAACAAATTAACTCTTTTAATTAAAATGTACGTATTCTCCCCACAGTGATATGTCATAATAATTTAAGTATCCACCCCTGTGAAATATCATATTAGTATATTGGTCGCATCTGCCCGTGTGGCCAGAAATTTAAAACGGTATTATTCTTTTCATTTCAGAAGCGCACCGAGATGGTCACAACATGCGCCTGCCCACCACCCAGCATTCAGGAAACCGACGCCCACTCATGCCTGTGTTATATTAAAACTGAATAAAAAAATGTTCTGTGTTTTTTATTTGATAATGATTAGGGGGAAGGAAAATGATATAAATATAACTGTTTTAACACTTTCAAATTTGCTTAATATGATCTATTCATGTTGCCGTTGGGGTAAACGGCTTTCCAAGGTACCAGGTTTTTAAAACACAAAAAGCTTTCAAAACGCGCCATGTACTTAGCCAAATACTTTTTGAGCATTTAAAAATTCTAAACCCACTGAAAGAATTAACCTACAAAATTTTCCACCAATATTCATCAATTGTATTTAAAGCTAGCGTTATAGATTTTTTTCTAAATTTATTCCATAGTATAATAGGTTTGCATCTTTTGAAACAAATGCGACCGTCCACCCCTATAAAAATGTTTTACATTTAATAAAATTCAGATGAACATTTAATTATATGAAGATTTAAAATAAAGATTTGAAACTTGGAAAGATTCTGACAACTTGACAACTGAAATTTGGACAGCAAGTATATTGTGATATTATAAGGGTGAATGAACGTTTTTCCAATTCTTATTTTGTGAAAAAAATGGCATGGTTAAAAAAATACTGAGTGTGTTCACTATTTCGTGTATTTGGAGATAAGTTTTAAATTCCACTAAAATGTTCAGGAAATAATGTTACGAGTTTGAATTTATCGTGGAGTAGGCAAATTTCAGACCAATTATTTAATGTGAGTCTATCTCCCCAGAGTTGATATCTCCTAACCCTACGACTAGTTCAAATCAATCAATCTATCATCTTTTGTATGGTGTGTAAGTTTTAAGTAATACATTCAGTCAGATTTTCATTTTTGCGGTTTGTTTACAATTTACAGCTTCTGCTTCCATTTTTATTAAGGGCTTTGCTTTCACATTCTTTTCAGTTAAAAAATTGTAAATTTAATGATAACTTCCACAATGGATTATGTACATTTTAAATATTTGAAAATAAAATGGTTAATCACCTTAACATCCGCCATTGACATATAGTCACTCCCTGAATAGAATTGACTCGCCCCATTTTACATCCCTCAGATGGATTTAACTCGCCCCACCTGTCACCCCTCAGATGGATTGGACTCGCCCCACCTGTCACCCCTCAGTTGGAGTGGACTCGCCCCACCTGTCACCCCTCAGATGGATTGGACTCGCCCCACCTGTCACCCCTCAGATGGATTGGACTCGCCCCACCTGTCACCCCTCAATTTGAGTGGACTCGCCCCACCTGTCACCCCTCAGTTGGAGTGGACTCGCCCATCCTAACACCCCTCAGATGGAGTGGACTTGACCCACCTCTCCTTCAGTTGCAATGGACAAGATTCACTTATTCTAGCGTGAAAAAATTAGCGGGCAGAATTAGATTCATCTGAAACTTGTAGACTTGAAAAAAATGCTATTCGACTCACTTTCCAAAATGTAAAATGTGTGGTTTAGAGTAATGTTAAAACTTTGCAATTTTGTAAATTATAATTTTAATTACAGCACTGATATGCCGTTTTCTAGCAGAAACCAATATCTTAAAATGAGACCTAAGTAAGCGAAGACATTAGGTAGCAGAAAAGGGATTTTCCAATTGGCATAATAAATGTAAGACGGTGAACACCATAGGTCGATGAGCCACGTGTACTCTTTTATAATTTAAGCGGAAATATGAAATCTGAAAATTGGCAGCCCTACAATTTTTATTTCGCCCCTCAATGCCCCGCGTTTAATTACCCTTGGTCTTAATTCAAAAACGCGTCTCAGTTTCACTTTCACTTCTTTTTATTTGCAAAATGTTATAGCTAATATCTATTTTAATTAAGAAAAGGATAAAACACATTTGAAATGATAGGATTTTACAGATTAGGCCTATAGGTTCTGAAAATTCAGGAAACATTGATATTAATAATATTATTACTTTTATGAAATTGAAAACTCCCCTTGGAAAGCACATTTATTCAGACAAAACTGTATGTCATTCATGACTGTCAAATAACATATAGAAATAACAACAAAAATAAATAGATAAATAAAGTAACTTCTACAATGTAAAGAACAATATCAACTGATGCGGTAGTAATCAATATGATTTACAAACCCGACAAGCTTACAAGTTTCATCTTACGATGCAGTTTGAAAGTTGGGATGTGCTCACACTTTGAACATTACATTATTATATTTCTAACACTTGGATCTAAATCATTACACATGTACATAACAAAATCTGGCAGAAACAGATGCATCCTAGCTCGCTCTTGGGTATAATTTGGAAAAAAAGGTCACTGTCAATATTTTGGGTATAATTTTAAAACAAAAGTGTTTTCAGGGTAAAATTGACACGAAAAGAACACGGTGATTCTAAGCACCATTTTAATATATGAAAATATGTAGGCTTATAAGTTAAAATGGTTTACAAATCACAGTAAAAGCATACGCTATTTTCACTATATAGCTTGCGTGCGTGTGAGTGCATGCGTGCGTGTCCGGTTCCAAACAGGGACAGAAGGCTGGACAAGTTTCTATCAGTCGCATGTGCATTGTACAGCATCACTGCAAAGGAGCTTCTGAAATACGAAAATAAAGTTACAAATAATTTGATGTTTCAGTGACATAAAATTTGGACTATGATTAAATAAACTGAAAATGAAGGCTGATATTGAAAAAATCGCACTGTAGGTTACACACCAACTTTAAAAAGCCACTTGATGTATATCTCAAGATTTAACCTTTCTCCACAACGAATCTCAGTGAATATTTCACGTTTGCACCAATTTCTAGTGTAATTCGAAAAAAATGGCAAGGGGAAATGGAACAAATTTTTAAAATCTGTTCCAAAAGTTACTGAAAAGGAGGGAATTTAGCCAAGGGGCAGATTATCGTAAAGTATCGAGTAAGGCAAATGATTTGATGGATCCTCCAGTTTCCTCGCGAATAGCAAATCTTATTGGATGAATGGTACAATACTTATCTATAACATGAGAAAAGATCGCACGGGTATCAAAAATTTTGTGCCATCGTGAAAACAAACAAACAAAAAAAAAAAACGTCTGCTACAGTTGAAAAATGTATTGTTTTAAAAAATCAAACGAAATATAACACAGGCCACTTTCTTTTGGCACCGAAAAACATAAGCTACAAAACATCATTGTTTTTGAAAGAGTTATTTGTTCTCGTGGCACAATTACGTGGAGTAGATCTGTGTCATCAAACTGACAGTGATATATAAAAGTGATATATAAAATAACTTTTCCATACCATCCATGCGATCATTTGCAGCTTGATTTGCAAAATTTTTAGATCCACTTACACGTTTTCAGTAAACCACCAGGCGGGGAAGTGCGGGGATATGCGATGGCTACCCATCGACAACAGTTCTCATTGTATTACAGTCTGTGACACCTACATGCATATTGACACGTATCCTATTGGAGTGAAAACCTTATAGTTTTACCTTTGTTAACAAATACATCAAAAGTATCCTCAGCTATATTATATGGGAAAACTCACAATTGAACCAGGTTGTCGCTGACAACAGGTAGACTTACTGCATCTTTATCCCCTTTTGAGACACAAGTCGAGGATCATGTTCTTCTGCCCGTCCGTGGGTCTGTGCGTTAGTGATTCCCTCTGTCTCTTCCTAGACCATTAGAGGTAGGGAGTTGAATCTTTGACAGACCTATATAGAAATAACAATGTGAAAAGAATTTAGAATCAACACCCCAGGGACAGCCAAACCCCCTGTTGCACTGAATTCCAAATTGCCCAAGCACATCCTTGATGACTGGTTTGCAAGTACAAAGTGCAGATTCATAAAGTGCTTAATTTTAACATGTAGTGGGTGATTATAAAAATGTATGGGGCACAGCATTACCACACATCTCGCGCGTGTCCGCGTTTTTTTTCCCTTACACTGCTTAACATACATGTATACATTATACATAAGTAGTACATTGGTCAAATTTACCTTCAATTCATATACTTGCTATTTTAAATTATTTAATCAATCTTTCTTTTTCATCACCCATCTCCAGACTGGCAGTTATTTTACATGTACATGCACTTTCGGTTTCTGAATGACAGAAAGGGGCGTCGTCGGTCGGATGAGAAAGATGCGGGGAACGAGAGTAGATAAGGCATTTATCAAGATGCTGATTCTAATTTTTAAATTAGATTTTTAATTTTTTTCTGTTAAGACTTAAAATCGGCCCAGTGCTTACCCATTTCTAACTATCCACCATTAGTACAAATATAAATTATTCGTCAGCGGTACCAAGGTCTTTCAAACTCAGCACATGCACTTTATTTCATTGGCACATTTGGGATAAAGAAAGTCAAAATATGTAGTTATTCGGTTCACATATAATTTCAAGTGTATTGTTTATGAAAGAGAAAGTACATGTG